AACAAAATATATATATATATATATATATATATATATATATATATATATTATTTCCGTTTGCTACTGCACTTGATTGTATTCATTTACCAAGAGATAAAAAAAATTAATAGCTAATAGTTGGTTTGGCATTTCTATTATACGGTGGAAAACGCAAAGCAAAGCTGAAAAAAGAGAAGAAAAGCAAGCGCCTCTTGCTCTTCTCTACTGCTCTGTCTCTCTTTTCTGTTCCTCTCATCTTTTCCATTTTTTCTTTGCGGGATAGGGTGGGTGCAAGTAAAGAGGTGGAGGGGGGGGTTAGGGTGCTCGGTGGCGCACGCTAGCACCAGGGGGCCTAATTGTACGCCCTGGTTCATCTCATGGATTCCTCTATTCGCTTCGTTCTCACGGCAATTCCACATTGAAAAGGGAAAGAGAGAGACATCGAATCGAAACTTTCCTTTCCTTTAATTCAATCTATCATTTGCTGTAGAGTCTTCAACAATTCTGGCGGACCTCAAAGGAACCCTAGCGTTCCTTCGATTGTCCTTTATCTCAATAGTGGCAGATCGGTTCGATTTTAAATCAAAGTACAAGAAGAAGAGAAGAGGGATTTATGGTGCAAAGATGCTTTGGATTCTACGATTCTCAGGCTTCTTCTCTGCCGCAGTTGTGATGATAATACTCTCACCTTCCATCCAATCCTTCCCTCCAGCTGAAGCCATTCGCTCCTCCAATCTCGACGGCTACCTCCGTTCCCCCAACCTCCTCTCCCCTCCCGATTACCTCCCTCAACTATACTTCCGAAGGTCGACCATATTCCGCAATGCTGATGAATGCCGCTTCTCTGACCGCCAAATCAAGGGCAAAACCAGTGTCTGTGATCCTTCATTGGTTCACATAGCGATTACTCTCGATGTGGAGTACCTTCGTGGCTCAATCGCGGCTGTTCACTCAATTTTGCTCAACTCTTTGTGTCCAGAGAATGTTTTCTTCCATTTCTTAGTCTCTGAGACCAATCTGGAATCCCTAGTTCGATCCACTTTCCCTCAATTGAAGTTCAAAGTGTATTATTTCGATCCTGAGATTGTACGCAGCCTCATCTCGACTTCAGTTAGGCAAGCGCTTGAGCAGCCACTCAATTACGCCAGGAATTATTTGGCTGATTTGCTAGAGACCTGTGTTAAAAGAGTGATCTATCTGGACTCTGATCTAGTTGTCGTCGATGATATTGCAAAGCTGTGGGCTACTAATTTGGGTTCTAGAACAATCGGAGCTCCAGAATATTGTCATGCCAACTTCACAAAGTATTTCACTTCGGGTTTCTGGTCTGATAAGCGGTTTTCAGGGACATTTCGGGGGCGGAAACCCTGTTACTTTAACACTGGAGTGATGGTGATAGATCTGGTGAAATGGAGACATGCCCAATATACGAAGTGGATCGAGAGGTGGATGGAGGTCCAGAAGAGTGACCGGATCTACGATTTGGGTTCATTGCCGCCGTATCTTTTGGTATTTGCGGGAAATGTGGCGCCGATTGAGCACCGGTGGAACCAGCATGGGTTAGGTGGTGATAATGTGAGAGGTAGTTGCCGGGACTTGCATCCGGGTCCGTATAGTCTATTGCATTGGTCAGGTAGCGGAAAGCCGTGGCTCAGGCTCGACTCAAAGCAACCGTGCCCTCTCGATTTCCTGTGGTCACCATACGATTTGTACGGACACTCACGTTTATAAATTCTACTCGCCGGTAAATTTATTACCCGTCAGGAACTTTTTTTTGTTAATTTCTTTCTTCTTTTTTGTTCTTTAATTTCGTTCTTCCTATGACCTCATTTTTTTTTCTTTGATTTTAATATCAAATCATTTCTGAGGCGATTTGTATTATTATTCCTGCCTTTGAAAAATAAAAATATATATATAAAAAACAAGGGAGACATTCAATTTGTTATGGTGGTGCTCGTTGGTATTTGGGATTCTAGTTAAAGCTGCAGCAATTAGTGTAAAAACAGAGCATCTCTGCAGAAGGAGGGAAGGAAGCTTGTCCTTCAATGGAGGGGTACAGTTGTTGATATTGAATGGAATAGACAAATTAGTGGGCATTGAAGTGGAGATATTTTCGAGATGACCAAATTGTGCGTTTTAATGTCATTAAATTACTGGATCAGTTGCAAATTGCAATTGTAAATTAATAGCGTTTTGGTCGGTGTCGGTCTGGTCTTGTGCATTTTGTTTTGTTTTAGGCTCTTGGGAATTTCTTCTCTGTAATCAGTACCCGTGAGGTTAGTGGGGAGAGTCAGTATGTGATAACATTGATTTTCTCGACAAAGTGATGGGGCATTTGGGAAAATGTGGCACACTGTGATTGGGAGGGAGGACTTTACAGAGGGCAGCTTTGGTTTTCTTTATGGACAAATGGTAGGCCATGTGAGTAATGTAGAACAGTGCTTAGGAAAAGGGACTTGGAAAAGAGTTGTGCTAGGTTTCTTTTTCCTCGCGCATCCTCTAGCTTTTTTGTACTTCATTTCTTAGAATTTTCAAGCTGCTCTTGTCAAAATGAAATGGTACTAATAAAGTAAGCAAATGAAGATGAATAAAAAATATATTGAACGATAAGCTGACATACTTGGGGGTGGAGTGCGATGAAGAAAAAAGAGTAGAAGGGCCATGGACTGGGGGCATGTGAGCTAAAGCTTAATTATCGTTCACGGCTGGAGGAGTTAAATCGGAAGAATCTCGGAGAAAGTTAACGGGCTGTGTTTTGTCTTGTCCTTGCCTTGGTAACAGCGGCATAAGACTTGTGAACTATCTATCTCTCGATTCTGTTACTTTGCACACTTCGGTGGCAACCCCCCTATTCCTTGCTTGCTTGTATTTTGTGATAAGTCTACTACTTGAAGTGATCGTAAGAAGTATAATTATAATTTATCCAGCCAACAAATATATCTAACAAGTGAACTAAGAAATGTATAAACAAAGCTTGGAAGCTGGGCGATCAAATTTATTTTGTGGCATACCCAGATGGCATTGTTGCGTAGCAAGCGTCCATAGGAGGGACGGGGGATCGATTCCTTTCGGCGTGGCATCACACGTGGCCAGATGCTTGGACTCTCCTGGAATCAGCTGTTTAATCATTAATGACTTGAGTTGGCCTTAAACAATCTTATCAAGAATGAAAATGAAAGGATTATCCTGTGACCTGTATTTTCAATGGTGGTATTTCTTGGATTCTTTCATTGTAGGCTCTGCTCGTAAGCAGATAAATTATTGATCCGTTCTTCCTTGCATGTTAAGAATGCTGATTAAGACTTGGCATCAGCCTTGAGTGGTTATTGGAATCACAGAAAAAAGGCCAATCTGACTTTGACAGCTTCGCTGTCACAATTTATTTGTAATCAAATGCTAGGAATCCATTGTAGGAGTATTTCAATTGAGATTTAATGGTTCTAGAAGTGAGGAAGGAAGTACGAGTTCCGGAGCACGGAGTACACGAGACTTTGGAGGGGTTGGGGCTGGTTTGTTCTGGAGAGAGTAGGTTGTTCATGTGGGCGGCGTCGATGGTAGATGCGTGGTTTTTTGTGTGTTTTATAAATCGTTTGAAGTTGAAGGAAAAGGAGCAAGAAAAAAAAATAAAAATCTTCCGAGCCCCAGTTGAGGTGTTGTCAAGGGCTATTGAAGACTGATAACATGCAAGATATGGCTTGCTTCCGTACCTGATTCACCTGTTATGAACACTCAGAATAAAACAAAGCAAAACCGGTCCCTTGGCATATAAACTACAAACTTCAGCTGGATGTTATTTTGAAGGGTGACGTTGCTGCCGACACTAACCAAAGAAACTAGCAGTATTTTGAAGGAAACGCCACGTTTTAGAATGTCAATAATGTAGAAACCGCCAAAGCCAAGTTGCTTGATTCTCTTTTATACGATTTCTTCATCTCGGAGGCTAGAACTAGCTTCGTTGTTTGGAAATCATGACAGGTGGTGAGTGTTAACGAACCAGATCATGATCAATAGTTACACCACAAGGAAAGAAAGAAACACCCAAAAAGGGCACTCCCAGAGGTTCCACTACCTTCACCTCAGCTGATATGTTAACAATGCCTTACAAGCCAGACAGTAGTCTTCATTTTGAGGTCAAAACCATTATCCGTGGCATGTGAAAAGCTCAAGAAAGAAACAAAAGAAGAAAAGAGCAAGAAAGAATGAGATCTTTAAAAGAAACTCGTGGTCGTGATAACCTTTACAGCTATAGAAAGCAAATTCGGTTGATAAGCAAGAAACGACCAGCAATCATCAATGGTCCACCACCACATGTATTTGTTCATATTAGCGAGCCACCACATTTAAACTCTGGCTAGCCAAAAACCACAAAGCAGCCGCTATCTGCTCCTTTCAAGTGGGTCATGTCACCTGTGAAGCATATTCAGAAATGAGTGAAGTCATCAATAAGGACGTCTTGGGGGCATACGAAATTGTAATTTTAGTCCATTCGCGAAAATACAATGGAAGCTAGAGTAACTACATTACAGCAGTAAATCCACCCCACCTCCAAAAGTAGAGGAAAAATAGCAGCCAGCCCTAGGCGATAAGTACTATAATTAGCCCGGCTGTAGCCTGGTAAGTCAAAATTCGTTCTTAGAGAGCCTTTAGAAGCTGATGATCAAGTTATTACTTTCTTAGTAATTCTTGCGAGTACAGTTTACCCTAGTATCCCCTATGAGGAGAAGAAGTTAAGGCTCAGTTTTCTCCCAGCGGTTCCCTAATATCCCCCAAGATTTTGGAGGTTATGAGTGCAAGCAGCTTCTTTCAGCCTGGACACGCTACTGAAATATTCATTAATGTTGCGGGGCAATAGTAATTGGCAACACATTGGATGCAAAATTCACACAAGAATAAGAGAGGCAGGAGCTTGATTGGCTGAGATATTATAAAGAGAGTTTTGACAAGTGATGCGTTTCATTTCTAGAATAAGATACTAATGTTCTTGTTACAAGCCAGCTCATGATTTGTTTTGTTATGCAGTGCGGATTCAACTACGAAAATGTAATTAAAATTTAAAACATGCCACCACGCTTTTGGCATCTTGTTAGTAGTCTCACTGCAACACAATAAACTTGCTGTAAATGGAGTTGAGCACACACCTTAAGTTATCTGCTTTCAAGTTTAAGAACCAACCAACGCTGGCAGCACACAGAAGCGCCAAATCTTGGAGAACTCTCAGTATGGATGCAAACCAGTGGGTTTTTGCAACTTTAAAAAGCCTGCTTTAAACCTAAGACAGCGGGCAGGATTTAAAGGTCTCAGCTGGATTTAAAGGTTTTTACAAGTTTAAAAATGCAAACCTTTATTACGCTGGCACAGTTCAAGTATGAGGATTCCAACTCAGTTCCAGACCTTTTCTGACAGAACAAATTTCAGAAACATGGTAGCAAAGTATCTCTAATATACATTAATTTCATATAGAAATAATAGGTTCAGGATCAATTGATTAAAATGGATAGAAAAGCGATGAAACTAAACAGTGATACAAAGATGAAGCAGAGAACTTCATCTGCTTACACAAAAGCTACACCTACGCTACAAGAATACACATCAAGGGATCTGAAACTTCATGTAGTCTTGTGTTCCAGGAGGACTAATGTACACCCACAGCAAAGAAATGATGATGGAGAGCAATCCGGACCACACGTAGACAATGGTTGGGACCCTTCCCCTCCTTCCCATCAAGCCTTTGGCAAAGGGGTAAAGATGGGACAAAACCCAGAAGCTGAAGAACACTCCTCCAACGAGCCTGCTCCACTGTGGAAATGGGCTATACATAGTTCTGGTAACTCCTACTGCAATTGCAATCAGGTTCAGAATCATTATTGTAATAGGAGGGACCATTAAGAAGCTCCACTTAACCACATATAAGTCAGCAAATTCATCATCTGCATCTTCAGGCGTAGCAGATTTAGATGTCAAAGTGAATGAGATGTCAACTCCTGCTATAACCTTCAGTAGTCCTTGTAAAACTGCTGCGGGATGGGCACTTGTTCCACCAATCAACCAAAACTGTTCGTTTCGCCACCAATCATGAAGTGTGATTCCTGACCATTTGATTTCTAGAATTGCAAGCAAGCATAGGGTGATGGTGATGGCCAACAAGAGGACTAGAAAGGTCACATTGAGGGATTGGACTATGAACTGGCCAGAAAAAAGAGAAATTGCAGGTAGGACGCAATAAACTAGGAGAAACATGGATGTGAAAGGGTACATTCCGCAGTTGAAATATGCCACCCTCTGTAAGAATTTCATCCGGCGAGTAGCAAATAGAGCATTGTTCCGTGAAAAGAAAATTTCTACCGAGCCTGTTGCCCATCGAAGGACTTGGTGGAGCCTGTCTGTTAGATTGATGGGTGCAGTGCCTCGAAATGCATCCCTTTTGGTTACACAATAAATCGACCTCCATCCTCTATTGTGCATACGATAACCAGTCACCACATCTTCTGTTACCGAACCATATATCCATCCTACTCTTTTTCCCCACTCAGTTTTGTCCTCGTAGAAACAAGAGATAACACTAATTGCCTCTGCAACAGTTGCAGCATCTAAAGGCTCACGAGGCACCGCAAGGGAACCAGCTGGTCTTCCTTGTTTACCCGTTTCTTGCAAATCTTGAAGCAGCCTTCCCTGGTATTCTGCAACTGGGATGGATGCAGCTAGAGAAGTAGAGTTCCCAAACCTTTTAGGCAGAAGCAAAGACTCAATATCTGCATCATCATCATCGTTATTATGGTCCCCATTGATTGGCAAAGCCATCTCATCCTCTTGCTTCTTTGTGGCCCTGGGTTTCCTCAAGAACAGTTTAATTTTCTTCCTACCAAACCATCCGTGGTGCTCTGTAGTTCTAGGAGGACTAAACCCATAAAGAGCTGTTCTGCGGAAAATACAGCCTGTCCCAACATACATCGGACCCTGTAGCCCATCAAGAGCTCTCATGCTTACATCGAAGAATATTGTATTGTGGTTTGCATACCGATCACTTGGATCAATCCCATCAAACCTTTGTGGGAACTGAACATAACAGATCCGATCACCACCCCTGTCAAGCATAAAGCACATCCCTTCTCTCAAAGCCAGAGAGTTAGAGATGTAGTGATCACAATCCAGATTCAGAATGAAGGGGCCATTTGACATGATTGCACTGGTTCTAACTAGAGCATTCATTGCCCCAGCTTTCTTATTGTGATCATAGCCTGGCCTTTTTTCGCGAGACACATAGACCAGCATTGGCAATCTAATATCAATTTCTGTGGTGTCAATCAAGTTCTCACCATCTGCTTCTACACCAAAAACAGGTTCTGCATTTGGTGGAGCTAGCATAGCCTGAAAAGGAAAAACAAAAATGTAGAATGACTCTCTATTCAACATCTCATTCTATAGAAAGTTTACAAACTCAAAAGGAAGAGAATTACCTGGATTATTCCAGCATGGTCTCCTCTCGAGTGGTCTGCTTCTCCAGAAGCCCAAGTCCCCGGCCAATGAGAACCATCTGACATCCAGGTAGCCTTGGGCACCTTCACAGTTTCTGATGGATTTCCCCCCATTTCCATCTGTTTTTTCCTAGCTCGAAGCTCTTCATGGGTATTATATGCATCTGATCTTCTCCTAATTGATTCAGGCAGGGAATTGATCCTCACCTTAAATTCATCATATTCTCTCTTTACTCTTCTCCTCTCTCTAACAAAATCAAGTCTCACTTTGTTCTTAAGAAAATCACGCTTCTGCCCGAAATAGGCCTCAGGGTTCCTGGGTTCTAAATTGTGTTTCCTACAGAAAGGTACCCAAATTCTTGCAAAGCTGGCTGTCTCAGCCAGAGCTTCAAACGTCAAGAGGGATCCACCATCATCCGATAAGTAACAGGCTACCTTTTCCACTGGAAAATCAACCGCAAGTATTGAAAGGATGGTGTTTGCAGTGACCAAAGGAGGTTCCTTTTCAGGGTCTGCCGTGGAAACAAATACATCAGTGCCTGGGAGGTCTGATCGACCTTTCGGGTTTCGAAGATTGGGGGATTCAAACCGCTCTCTTGAGTTAGCCTTAAACAATCTAATCAAGAATGAAAATGAAAGGATTATCCTGTGACCTGTATTTTCAATGGTGGTATTTCTTGGATTCTTTCATTGTAGGCTCTGCTCGTAAGCAGATAAATTATTGATCCGTTCTTCCTTGCATGTTAAGAATGCTGATTAAGACTTGGCATCAGCCTTGAGTGGTTATTGGAATCACAGAAAAAAGGCCAATCTGACTTTGACAGCTTCGCTGTCACAATTTATTTGTAATCAAATGCTAGGAATCCATTGTAGGAGTATTTCAATTGAGATTTAATGGTTCTAGAAGTGAGGAAGGAAGTACGAGTTCCGGAGCACGGAGTACACGAGACTTTGGAGGGGTTGGGGCTGGTTTGTTCTGGAGAGAGTAGGTTGTTCATGTGGGCGGCGTCGATGGGAGATGCGGGGGTTTTTGTGTGTTTTATAAATCGTTTGAAGTTGAAGGAAAAGGAGCAAGAAAAAAAAATAAAAATCTTCCGAGCCCCAGTTGAGGTGTTGTCAAGGGCTATTGAAGACTGATAACATGCAAGATATGGCTTGCTTCCGTACCTGATTCACCTGTTATGAACACTCAGAATAAAACAAAGCAAAACCGGTCCCTTGGCATATAAACTACAAACTTCAGCTGGATGTTATTTTGAAGGGTGACGTTGCTGCCGACACTAACCAAAGAAACTAGCAGTATTTTGAAGGAAACGCCACGTTTTAGAATGTCAATAATGTAGAAACCGCCAAAGCCAAGTTGCTTGATTCTCTTTTATACGATTTCTTCATCTCGGAGGCTAGAACTAGCTTCGTTGTTTGGAAATCATGACAGGTGGTGAGTGTTAACGAACCAGATCATGATCAATAGTTACACCACAAGGAAAGAAAGAAACACCCAAAAAGGGCACTCCCAGAGGTTCCACTACCTTCACCTCAGCTGATATGTTAACAATGCCTTACAAGCCAGACAGTAGTCTTCATTTTGAGGCAAAAACCATTATCTGTGGCATGTGAAAAGCTCAAGAAAGAAACAAAAGAAGAAAAGAGCAAGAAAGAATGAGATCTTTAAAAGAAACTCGTGGTCGTGATAACCTTTACAGCTATAGAAAGCAAATTCGGTTGATAAGCAAGAAACGACCAGCAATCATCAATGGTCCACCACCACATGTATTTGTTCATATTAGCGAGCCACCACATTTAAACTCTGGCTAGCCAAAAACCACAAAGCAGCCGCTATCTGCTCCTTTCAAGTGGGTCATGTCACCTGTGAAGCATATTCAGAAATGAGTGAAGTCATCAATAAGGACGTCTTGGGGGCATACGAAATTGTAATTTTAGTCCATTCGCGAAAATACAATGGAAGCTAGAGTAACTACATTACAGCAGTAAATCCACCCCACCTCCAAAAGTAGAGGAAAAATAGCAGCCAGCCCTAGGCGATAAGTACTATAATTAGCCCGGCTGTAGCCTGGTAAGCAAGTCAAAATTCGTTCTTAGAGAGCCTTTAGAAGCTGATGATCAAGTTATTACTTTCTTAGTAATTCTTGCGAGTACAGTTTACCCTAGTATCCCCTATGAGGAGAAGAAGTTAAGGCTCAGTTTTCTCCCAGCGGTTCCCTAATATCCCCCAAGATTTTGGAGGTTATGAGTGCAAGCAGCTTCTTTCAGCCTGGACACGCTACTGAAATATTCATTAATGTTGCGGGGCAATAGTAATTGGCAACACATTGGATGCAAAATTCACACGAGAATAAGAGAGGCAGGAGCTTGATTGGCTGAGATATTATAAAGAGAGTTTTGACAAGTGATGCGTTTCATTTCTAGAATAAGATACTAATGTTCTTGTTACAAGCCAGCTCATGATTTGTTTTGTTATGCAGTGCGGATTCAACTACGAAAATGTAATTAAAATTTAAAACATGCCACCACGCTTTTGGCATCTTGTTAGTAGTCTCACTGCAACACAATAAACTTGCTGTAAATGGAGTTGAGCACACACCTTAAGTTATCTGCTTTCAAGTTTAAGAACCAACCAACGCTGGCAGCACACAGAAGCGCCAAATCTTGGAGAACTCTCAGTATGGATGCAAACCAGTGGGTTTTTGCAACTTTAAAATGCCCGCTTTAAACCTAAGACAGCGGGCTGGATTTAAAGGTTTTTACAAGTTTAAAATGCAAACCTTTATTACGCTGGCACAGTTCAAGTATGAGGATTCCAACTCAGTTCCAGACCTTTTCTGACAGAACAAATTTCAGAAACATGGTAGCAAAGTATCTCTAATATACATTAATTTCATATAGAAATAATAGGTTCAGGATCAATTGATTAAAATGGATAGAAAAGCGATGAAACTAAACAGTGATACAAAGATGAAGCAGAGAACTTCATCTGCTTACACAAAAGCTACACCTACGCTACAAGAATACACATCAAGGGATCTGAAACTTCATGTAGTCTTGTGTTCCAGGAGGACTAATGTACACCCACAGCAAAGAAATGATGATGGAGAGCAATCCGGACCACACGTAGACAATGGTTGGGACCCTTCCCCTCCTTCCCATCAAGCCTTTGGCAAAGGGGTAAAGATGGGACAAAACCCAGAAGCTGAAGAACACTCCTCCAACGAGCCTGCTCCACTGTGGAAATGGGCTATACAAAGTTCTTGCAACTCCTACTGCAATGGCAATCAGGTTCAGCATCATTATTGTAATAGGAGGCACCATTAAAAAGCTCCACTTAACCACATATAAGTCAGCAAATTCATCATCTGCATCTTCAGGCGTAGCAGATTTAGATGTCAAAGTGAATGAGATGTCAACTCCTGCTATAACCTTCAGTAGTCCTTGTAAAACTGCTGCGGGATGGGCACTTGTTCCACCAATCAACCAAAACTGTTCGTTTCGCCACCAATCATGAAGTGTGATTCCTGACCATTTGATTTCTAGAATTGCAAGCAAGCATAGGGTGATGGTGATGGCCAACAAGAGGACTAGAAAGGTCACATTGAGGGATTGGACTATGAACTGGCCAGAAAAAAGAGAAATTGCAGGTAGGACGCAATAAACTAGGAGAAACATGGATGTGAAAGGGTACATTCCGCAGTTGAAATATGCCACCCTCTGTAAGAATTTCATCCGGCGAGTAGCAAATAGAGCATTGTTCCGTGAAAAGAAAATTTCTACCGAGCCTGTTGCCCATCGAAGGACTTGGTGGAGCCTGTCTGTTAGATTGATGGGTGCAGTGCCTCGAAATGCATCCCTTTTGGTTACACAATAAATCGACCTCCATCCTCTATTGTGCATACGATAACCAGTCACCACATCTTCTGTTACCGAACCATATATCCATCCTACTCTTTTTCCCCACTCAGTTTTGTCCTCGTAGAAACAAGAGATAACACTAATTGCCTCTGCAACAGTTGCAGCATCGAAAGGCTCACGAGGCACCGCAAGGGAACCAGCTGGTCTTCCTTGTTTACCCGTTTCTTGCAAATCTTGAAGCAGCCTTCCCTGGTATTCTGCAACTGGGATGGATGCAGCTAGAGAAGTAGAGTTCCCAAACCTTTTAGGCAGAAGCAAAGACTCAATATCTGCATCATCATCATCGTTATTATGGTCCCCATTGATTGGCAAAGCCATCTCATCCTCTTGCTTCTTTGTGGCCCTGGGTTTCCTCAAGAACAGTTTAATTTTCTTCCTACCAAACCATCCGTGGTGCTCTGTAGTTCTAGGAGGACTAAACCCATAAAGAGCTGTTCTGCGGAAAATACAACCTGTCCCAACATACATAGGACCCTGTAGGCCATCAAGAGCTCTCATGCTCACATCAAAGAATACTGTATTATGGTTAGCATACCGATCGCTTGGATCAATCCCTTCAAACCTTTGTGGGAACTGAACATAACAGATCCTATCACCACCCCTATCAAGCATAAAGCACATCCCTTCCCTCAAAGCCAATGAGTTATAGATGTAGTGATCACAGTCCAGATTCAGAATGAATGGACCGTTTGACATGATTGCGCTGGTTCTCACTAAAGCATTCATTGCCCCAGCTTTCTTGTTGTGATCATAATCTGGCCTTTTCTCTCGAGACACATAGACCAACATTGGCAATCTGATATCAATTTCGGTGGTGTCAAGCAAGTTCTCACCATCAGCTTCTACACCAAAAACAGGTTCTGTATTTGGAGGAGCTAGCATAGCCTGAAAAGAAAAGCAAAAATGTTGAAGGACACTCCATTCAACATCTCATTCTCTAGAAAATTTTCAAACCCATAAGCAAGAGAGTTACCTGGATTACACCAGCATGGTCTCCTTTTGAGTGGTCTGCTTCTCCAGAAGTCCAAGTTCCCGGCCAATGAGAACCATCTGACATCCAGGTAGCCTTTGGTACCTTCACAATTTCTGATGGATTGCCCCCCATTTCCATCTGATTCTTCCTCGCTCGAAGCTCTTCATGGGCATTATAGGCATCTGATCTTCTCCTAATTGACTCCGTCAGTGAATTGATCCTCACCTTAAATTCATCATATTCTCTCTTTACTCTTCTCCTCTCTCTAACAAAATCAAGTTTCACTTTGTTCTTAAGAAAATCGCGTTTCTGCCCAAAATAAGCCTCAGGGTTCCTGGGTTCTATATTGTGTTTCCTACAGAAAGGAACCCAAATTCTGGCAAAGCTAGCTGTCTCAGCCAGAGCTTCAAACGTCAAAAGAGATCCACCATCATCTGATAAGTAACAAGCCAGCTTTTCTACTGGATAATCAACTGCAAGGATCGAAAGGATGGTGTTTGCAGTGACCAAAGGAGGCTCCTTTTCAGGGTCCGCCGTGGAAACAAACACATCAATGCCTGGAAGGTCCGATCGGCCTTTTGGGTTTCGAAGACTGGGGGATTCAAAGCGCTGTTTCAGCACAGAGAGGTCAGTCACTCTGTTTACAGGGCAGAGCTTAGGGAGCTGATCAAGAATCCATGACACACCAAACCATAACTCACAAGTTATGGACATCCCCCATAACCACATTGCTTCGCGATTGGGGTGTCGGATTCTCCATGTTAGGAATAGACCAAGAGCCGCAAGACGTATCATGATGAGTAGTCTGCATAGTAATAAGTAACTTCATATTTTAGATACTAATCAAAACACAGGCGGTGCAGCGCCTAAAAAATTCGTATTGAAATTGATTTAACAACACAAATTGAGTAGTTCATCATCCAGTACCACTTAGAATCACGTTATTTACACAAAAAATTCACTAATAATCACATAATCCATACAGATTACAAACAGAGTGATAAGCTCCCACTTCCAAACAACGATTAGCATAAAATCCGTCTTCTGAAACCGTAAGTAACCCAATAAATTGAGAATATCAAACCAGCACATATGTGATCTAAAACATATAACCAAATACCAAACCATGAAAATCAAACGGCGAGTAGCATTAATGATTAAGCTTTTCTTTCTTTCCTGTTTATATCGAGCCATATAGCCAAAATCATAGATTCAAGTGTATAGTTTTTTTTACCTGTAAGGGCTGAGAATTGCAGCAGATACCCCAACCTTCCTGGTCAAAGGCCTCCTACTTCTCTCTCCAAAATCTGGAGGAGGCTCAAATCCATTAGCACCTGATCCAGCACCATCCCCATCTTTAGGCCACACAGCATTTCCATAACCATAAGTCCCCTTCGTTTCAAACAACCACCTAGTATGGTCAAAATCAGGAGGATGGCTCTGCGCCTTAAACGACTTCACAAGTGAAAGCCTCTTATCCAATTTAGGCAATGGCAGTGCCTGATCATCTGCTTCACTTTTAGCCTCATCATAGTCATAGTCATAATCATCGTCATCCTCAGCTTCATCACCCGCATCCTTGTATGGTTCCTTGCAACCAGGACAATGGCCCCCTCCATTAGACCCTACACAATCTAAATAACAATCTCTACAAATCTTGAACCCACATTCACATTTTCCCCTAATTGCTTTTTCATCACAACCTTTCATCCCACAAACAAGCCCAGATTTCAGAGACTCGTTGTTTTCCATTGAGCAATCAATTACATGCCCACGTGTGACAGAATTGAACCCACCAGTGAAAATAGTACCAGAAATGAAACTCTTCTCAGGTTTGGCAGCATTAGTGATGTCTTCAGCTAGGCTTGTCTGTGAAGCTGAGAAGCTCTGGTGATCTGGAGTGGGAGGTATATGGACAGTGTAGGAGACGAACTCTGAATTAATCTCCTCCGTGGTATCATCTCTGGACATTGAACAGTATCTGCCTCCACTTGGGGTTCTGTTTCTACTGTTGCTAAGAGGGGAATTTGGGTTGTTTGAAATGGAAGCTCTTGGTACTGGACTAGTTAAGCCCATGCTTCTACTTCCTCCTCCTTTGCCTCCTGAGGAGACTGTTATGGTTACTGGAGATGAACATGGAGAACTAGCCCTTTTCACCATTTTCTTTGTTGCCTGAGGGTTTATTTTTTTTGTCTTTTAGAAAAAAACTCTCTCACGAGTGGCACATTCGAATGCTGAGGCTTTTGGAAAATAAGAGAATGTAAAATGAAGAGAACCCAAAGGAAGTTAAGTAGTTTCAAGTGAAGAAGAAGATCTTTAACGGAGATGGCAACGGCTCGATTTGAATGTTTTTGAGGCTTTTGGAAAAGGGTTGGGGTTTAATCACTCCAACGGTCGATTAATCTGAACCGTAAATGGGAAGTGATCTGACGGTTAGATCTTGAATGAAACGGTCGGGTGGGGTCCATGCTGGGAAGAAAGTCAAAAGGGTAGGCCCAGCGGCTATTCTCATTTTATACATATATTTTTAATGGATGGGTTTTCATAAAGTAAAAGCCGTTGGGGAGCTCTTTGATTCCACAGGTTCAAAACACACGCAAAAAATAAAATTAAAAAAAAAAAAACAAATCAAGAATCCTCTTAAGCTAAAACCACTAAAGAAAATAGCTACTTTATTCAAAAGGGACATGTAAAAAGCTTTTCAAAGTCATCCCTCGATTGTCTTTGCTGTCGTGTTCTCGTGCAATTTTAGAATCTACAGAATCCAAAGTTATCCGTTAGCTTTAGTGGGCCTTGGTCTCAAAGACAAGCCATGCAACAAAGTTGTTCGGTCAGGTTAGTCAGGCCTTGACCTAAGTTAGAGGGCTTCGACCTCATGCAATAATCACGTGCTAGCATGCCCTTGCATGCTGCTCAAACTCTCTAATCCACATGCTCTGGCGCGCAATAATCACTCTCTAATCCACATGCTCTGGCGCGCACATAATTATTTGAGGGCACGTGCCATGTCAACACAACTTTGCAGCGTCGTTACACATAGCGGCACGCACTTTCTTCTCAATTGCAAATATCATGTATGGCTCCACAACCTCCTCATGTGAAAACACGAATTGTTATTGCGATCATGGTTCTTATACGAGATCATATAATTTATAATTTATAAATTAGGTTAAAAACTTGAAATAAATCAAATTTATTCAAGACCAAACTTTATAAAATCAGTAAAACCAGACCAATTTCACAAGTTTGACAAAACTTAAAATTTTTTGCCTACTCCTCCATGTCCCTGAATCCCTCGACACTCCACCCCCAGTCTCCCATTTCCTCTTTGCTGAAATCTCAAATTCTCAACTTTAGCAAACTAACACCAACCATTGCTAAGAACTGAGAGATCGCAAAAAATAAAAATAAAAAAAGAATTGAAGAGGAGAGCAATGTCTTGGCTTTCTCACTTCAGATCAACTGAAAAGGTATGTCATGTGATTTTCTCTTATGTTTTCAACCACCACTGTATGCAACCACAGTAAGGATCGTACATCTGCATGTTCCTGTTTAATCAGAACAAGTAATTGCATCAAAGCTAGCCTTTTCTAAGATTATGCCTTAATTCTCAAAAAGTGATGTTGCTTCCATCCCTGCTCTATATAAAAAGAAAAGGGTCAATCAGAAATTAGGAGATCATGAAGCTATGCATCATGGTTTTAATAAGAAGGTTTAGGAGTTAGGACTCCATATATGTAATGAATGTATTAAACTTAATTAGGATTAATAAATTAATATCTCTCATTTCATGATTAACATTTAGTTTTGCGCTTTCATTGCAAAGCAATCATCTTCCTTTTCTTCTCCGCTAGCTACTACTAGTACTGAGGCATTTGCAACCCTGACTTCCTCTTCTGATTGAGCCCGAGTGGAATCAACTTGCCTCGTTTGATGATCGATTACTGCTATGGATCCATTTGGTTTCTCATTTTTTGTTGTTGACCTAGAGCTAGGCATCTTTCTATCAATGTTTTCTGGTGTTGGAGAAGATCTCTTTCCTGCAGTAGATCTAGAAACACCCTTGCCACTGCCACCACTATTTCTTGATGGTGACCCATTACCAGCACCCGATCGCTTTTCTAGATTCCTGGTCATGGCCGAAAAAAAAAAAAGAAGAGATGCAAACTTGTTGATGAGAAATGTTTTGGTTTGGTTTTTACTAGAAGTGAAAGAAATGCTTGCTTATAAAACACATTTCACAAATATAACCAATATCAAGTTAAGATTAAAGTTGTGCCATAAACAACTTCTTCCTAAACTGCAATTCTAACTATGAACTATGGTATTTTGTCCAACTCTTTACACTTTATATTATACATCTTTGTTGATGAATTTATTGATTCATGAACTGCAGGATATATTTATTTAAAAATACTATCAATAATAATAAACTTAATGTGAGATGATAATATAATATGGATGCTAATAAAAATTTAATAAGAGTTCAATATAAATATTATCAGAAAATTTTTGGTGGAGGTTATGTGTTTAGTTTACATGATATATCAACAAATTATTTATTATATATTTATTAATTTTTAGTTAATAAAATTTTATGGATATAATTTTATGATATTGTATTTTTAAATTATTTAAAACATTTATGAATTTTTATTTGAATGATATATTTTGAGCTATTTGAATATTTATATTGTTTATGTTACTTTTTTTTAATTATGTTATATTATTATTTACTGCTTGACTGAGAATATATAATTAGTTAAAATATTTTACTTGTAATTTTATGATTTTATGATTTGAGTTTATATTGTGTATTCTGTTTTATGTAAAAAAAATATTTTTGACAATTATGATGACAATGTTTATCTTTTTTTTATTCTTGTTATTTTTATTATATATATATATATATATATATATATACACACACACACACATTATGATTTACAAAGTTAATTATCATAGATTTTTATTATATATATATATATATATTATGATTTACAAAGTTAATTATCATGGAGTCTGCTATACTAATAAAAAGATTTGTTTTATAGGAGTTTAGGAACTAACCTAACTTAATTCAATTAAAATTCCTCTAAATCCCATTGTATTGAAAGGCCTAATTTAATTTGAAGTTTTTTATTTATTTATTTCATTAGTGACACCATTATATGTGAGAACTACACAAAAGCCAATTCATTTTTATTTTACACATCACTAAAAGCTCTTTTCATGATTGATGCCTCGGAAATACTAGGACATGAAAGAGAGTAATTGACCTCTATATAGTTTGCATACCAACTCTTCCAAGTCTTTAATGAATTATCCATCAAATGAAAGTACTCACCAAAATTGTTCTAACCATACCGACATCTTTGAACTTTTCATTTTCCTTGCAAGTGACACAATTATCTCCATTACATGCACTATCAAATGCATGCAAACAACTCTATTTTCTTAAAAAGATAGAGTAGAATTGATCACCAGGGATTTCGTCCAACATTTTATAAAGAAAAAAATACGTTAAATTCATCCAATCTACAATTAATTTAGTATCGTCTTAATTGATAACCTATAAATAAACCTTGTTATTTAGTACGTTAAATTCATCCAATCTAGAAAAGAAAAAAAATTGTTAAGCAATAAAAATATTTAGTATCGTCTTAATTGATAACCTATAAATAAATGTCATATATTAAATCCGGAGTTAAATTTGTTAGTATCCAAATCATAAAAATTAAATACCATAAAATCTACAATTAATTTTTAATGAAAAAAATCTAAAGTGCTAGATATCACCAACGCCTCTGAGATTAAAATCAAACGCAGATTAAAACAAGAAAAGCAAAAAAAGGACCCAATTTCAAAGAGGAAACCCAGAAATATATGCTGATGTAAAATCGTAAAAAATCTCATGAGATCCCCATGTGATGACTTTTAGGGATTTTAAACATTCAGGGTTACTTGCGTTGTTAAATTTACAATTTTCTATTCTTTTCTTTAGGAGGCATGCAGTGCTTTAATTCGATTGTTTTACATCCTCCATTTGAAATTGCGTTGTTGGAGTAGCTACCCTTTTCATGATTGTGGAGCGAGCATGGAGGACCACTGTTTATTCCTTCTGCTTTAGCTGGTTTCATGGTGGACATGGTTGAATTGAAACAAACTGATTGTTAAAAAGATTTCAAATCTTGATGGGTTATGCCGTATATTGTAATTTCATCTTGTGATAAAAGAAAGAGATCAAAAGGGAAAACTGTGTGTGTGATTTTTTCCCGAGAATTTGAAAACAGTTGAATATGCTCTTGTTTTTATTAGGAGGGCATAGCCCTACATCATCCTATGAAAAATGAGCAACCCCAATCTCCAGAGAATTACCGTCATTAGTTAGGCAATCCACGCAGCTGTTAGATTTTTTACAGACATAAGGAATCTGAACTTGCCTGGAACGCTTCAAATGGGAATAAGAATTGTTCGACTTATCCCCCTGAGTACTATTCAACTCCACCGCAAGAGTAGAATCTACCTCCGACATCACCTGCTTAGACCTACCCTCCTTTCCAAGCTAAATCCGGTCCAATGAAGATGCCCTACAATTTTGAGTACTTTCAGGGCAGTAAAAGCTTGTACAGCATTAACTTTAGGGTTTATAAGATTAATTAATGTGTAAGTTGATTAGAACACAACATTAAATAATAATAAAAAAACCCCACAGGCCACAACTCTGCTTTTAGAACAGAGGCAAGCGCCAACAGTGCCAAGCACCCACAGCATCCCTATGCCGACCCCCTCCTGAAGCCTTGCCTGAATGCATCGATAACAAACCGTGAGTATTGATTTTAATCATGCATTTTGAAGGAAAGCACCAGCCAACAAGCTCTCCCCTCCCCAGTCGAGAACCCAGCTGAATAATGGCAGCTTGACTAGTGCATGGGATAGTATCGATCAGTAGCCAATCTTTCGAGACAAAGGAGGTAAAATTCAGCATCAAATATAGCAGCATTTCTGCAATTCCATATCTGCCAACAGTTGATTCAAGATGCTCGATTGGTATTGTTTTTATTTTTAAAGGATCTAGCCTGAATTCGAGCCTTTCTTTTGTAAGAACAAAAAATAAGATGAGTGATTCTAGATCAAGTACATGCCTTGTCTCTTTGAAAAAAAAAAAAAGTTCTATGCTTGACAGAGACTTGTGCAAATTCAAAAGGGCATGCAAATTGTTTTGTGAATTCAAATTGATTATATAAAAACATGGTATGTGCCAAAAAAATAATTAAATTTAAATAAACTTAAAACTTCAAATCGGAAATAATATTTGAAAAATAT